CAAATAAAGATAAAAAAATGCATTTAAAAACAGATAAAATAATTAAATAAACAGCATTTCAAATGTTTTACTATTGTATTGTTTTTTTTTCGTTTTCTATATTTTGCTGTAGTTTTGTTGTAGTTTTATATAATGCAAAAAACAAATAAATAAACCTTAAAATTAATAAATAAATAAATAAAATGGAGTTTTGTGCATGGATACATGATAAATATTCTTCCAGAAAAAACTTTTTTTTTTTTTTTTTTAAAAAGCCATCCAAATATTCTTAGTATATAAATTCCTTGTCTAATACTGTTAAAATAATGTACATTCTAACAAAATAAGCTTTATGGTGGTGAGAGATGTTACTCTATAAAAACCTAAAATTTAAGTAATAATAATAATTTATATATTATCAACAAGTAGTTCGTAAAACAGCATAGCTGACCCAAATCCAAAACCCTCAACAGAAATGAAACCAATCAAATGAACATGAATAATCATATCTATATCTATGTATATATGTGTGTGTGTGTGTGTGTGTGTGTGTGTGTGTGTGTGTGTGTGTGTGTGTGTGTGTGTGTGTGTGTGTATATATATATATATATATATATATATATATATATATATATATATATATATATATGTGTGTGTATCCAAGTTCAGATGCAAAACTAGATTTCTGATACGAACAAGACAAACAGGTGATCGCGAACCTAAGGTCGCATATACGCTATTCAGTTTCTGAATGGTTTAGGCACAAGCCAACACTTTGGTGACCCCTCCTGAGCCTTATGTCATAATTTTTTTTTATTATGTGAGGTAATACCGGATACCGAGGTAAAATGGGGAGGAGGTTTGCAGGATCAAACTTTGGATACTGCCCAAGCCTAATAGTTATTATGAAGTAATATAAATAATACATTATATTTATCTTTTAAAAAATAGCTTACATTAGCAAATAAAATGTCTGCTTGGCAAAAAGGGGGGATGAGTCTCATTAAAGCTGTCATTCATTAATCCTCAACATACTCACCGTCTTTGTCTCTTTTTCGTCTCTGATTTATCATAGCATCCATGTGGGATAAAAAAAAGACATCTCAACTCTGTCTTTCGTGAAACGCAGTTGCCATTTAATGTATAGTAAATCGGCCTCATTCAAAGTAGAATCACAGCTCAAAAAAAAAACTTTTTGAATGCATGTTACAGTACACTTCCGACTGCACATTGTTTTCTTTTTCTTATAATGCAGAGTTTTGAGGTAAGGGATGTTTTCATTTGCCATTCACTGACAGTTGGACAGACTCTTCCAATTCATCAAACTCTGTCTTTTAAAATATAAATCTGAATAAAACAGTCTCCTCATAAAAGCTGGCGCATCAGCACACTGCTACATTGAAAACATTCTACCTCTTTTGATTGGTCGTCGGGACACAGTGGCTTTTGGGGTCAAAGGCAAGTGCCGTTCAGAGGCTTTTGCAAACAAACTGTCATTTCTGAAAGCGCTGATGCTTTGAAGTGAAAATATTGGTTTAACATGTACTACGTTCCTTAATCATTCGCTCAATGCCATTAGCTCATTTTTGACAGAAGTGGCGTTTCGCAGCTTTTGCATCTGAACTCTTCATATATTTATAAATCAATCCTATGTAATTTGAACCCATTTTTAATTCTCAAACTTTTTGTATTTATTATTACTTTTCTTCTTGTTCATGTAAAGCACTTTGAATTACTATTGTGTGTGAAATGTGCTATATAAATAAACTCATGTTTATGTGTGTGCAATGAATTATAGATCATGTGCAATGTGTCACCTGTTAAAGGGAACCTCCTGCAAGATACGATCACTGCACAGAGAGAGCAGACAGTTCTTCTGAAGCTGAAAAAAAAATAGAGGAAATCAAAGCACCTGTGAAACCCTCTAGAATTCTCTTCCTCATTCACCACAAGAAGTTCTGCATCACCATGACATGGGGAACACTATGTTACAAATGCTCTTTTGTGTGCAGTTATGTTTCCTGTAACCGAGTACACAACCTGGCAGCATTAAACCATCATTATACAATTCAGTCATATTCATTTCATCTACTGCTCTAGTTAGGTGAAAAAAATATGTATTAAATAAGCAAAATGTTATGTAATGCGATGACTTGCAATATAATAATAAGCAACATTCTAAACCAAGGTTGATTTTGATGTGCATTTTAATTGTTAATAAGCTCATCCAAGTTTCCAAAAAGATCTTCTCATTTCATAATCACTTCTGATTTTCATGATCATTTGCTTAATTTATTAAACTAGTAATTAAGTAAAAAATGTTTAGGTAGTATTCATTCATTCATTTTCTTTTAGGCTTAGCCCCTTTATTAATCTTGGGTTGCCACAGAGAAATGAACCGCCAACTCATGCAGCATATGTTTTACGCAGCGGATGCTCTTCCATCTGCAACCCATCACTGGGAAATCCCCAAACACTCCCATTCACACACATACAGTGCACCCAGTAAGTATCCATATCGCTTCACTTTTTCAACATTTTTTTATGCTACAGCCTTATTCCAAAATGGATTAAATTAATTTATTTCCTCTAAATTCTACACACAATACTACGGAACCCCGGAAGGGACGCAGTGGAGGAGAAAAAAATTGGCTAGGTGAAAAAAAAAAAAAATGGGTGAAAGAAAAAAATGGGTGGGAGGAAAATATATATTTCTAAGTTTTTGCGTTCCCTCGCAAAGATGTTTTGCGTTCCCTCGCAAAGATGTTTTGCGTTCTCTCGCTAAACTGTTTCTCCACAAACACTTCCTATTCACTGCACTCATGTAAACCCTCCCGTTTTTGCCGAAATTCTCCCGTATTTTACCATTCTACCCCACTTTCTTTACATTACTGTGCGTCGATCGTCGACTTTCATATGCTACCTCTGAACCAGTGAATGCATGTATAAGCGCTGACTGACAGACGCGCTCCATCCAATAAACTGATCTCAGATCAGCGTCTTTACACGCCATTTACAGAGGAGCGGGTGTATTTTTAAACAGACAAATACACTAATAATATGAAACATCTCCGTCCTGCATGTTTTATTCTAAACAGCTTATTTTCTCTTAAATGAGCACAAACAGTTTCTAAAGTAATGGACTGCTTTCATTATAGATCTGTGCATTCTTACAGAGACACCTCTGTTATCAAACTAAACAAAACATAAGATTCATTTGCTGCTCACTTGTTTGATAACAGAAGTGTCCCTTTAAATGGCGTGTACAGACGCTGATCTGGGATCAGTTTATTGTACGGAGCGCGTCTGTCAGTCAGCGCTTATACATGCATTCACTGGTTCAGAGGTTGCAAAGTGAAAGGCGACAATCAGCGCACAGTAATGTAAAGAAAGTGGGGTAGAATGGTAAAATATGGGAGAATTTCAGCAAAAACGGGAGGGTTTACGTGAGTGCAGTGAACAGGAAGTGTTTGTGGAGAAACAGTTTTGCGAGAGAACGCAAAACATCTTTGCGAGGGAACGCAAAACATCTTTGCGAGATAACGCAAAACTTTGCGAGGGAACGCAAAACATCTTTGTGAGGGAACGCAAAACTGCGAGAGAACGCAAAACATCTTTGCGAGAGAACGCAAAACTTTGCGAGGGAACGCAAAACATCTTTGTGAGGGAACGCAAAACTGCGAGAGAACGCAAAAACTTAGAAATATCTATTTTCCTCCCACCCATTTTTTTCTTTCACCCATTAATTTTTTTTTCACCCAGCCAATTTTTTTCTCCTCCACTACTTCCCTTCCGGGGTTCCGTACAATACCCCATAATGACAATGTGAAAGAAGAGTTTTTCAAATTGTTGTTTTATGTATGCCACATACATTTTATGTCACAATGTCACGATGCATCTATGAATCAATTAATCTAATACCTGCTGGTGGTTGGGGAAGGTCTTCATGGCTTCGAGCAGCTGCTGTGTGACGTTCCCCAAGAGTCTCACTGGGATACCGAAGGCCAGCTCCTGTTTGGTGAGGTTAAACACACAAGCACTGGCTGCCAGCTGCACATTTAACGTGGTTGGGTGATTCTTCATGCCCAGCGCCACCAACTGCAGATGAGGAGAGAAGAAGAGACGTGAGGCTTGACATGGAGACATGGACAAGCTTAAATTCAATTGTTTGATCTGTGTACCTTCAGGATGTCCGGTCTAGGTTTCTCAATGGCATGAGTAAGGCTGAAGAGGTGAAAAAGAGCCTCTCTGACAAAGCCCTCTCTCTCGCTGTATCGCCTCAGCGCCTCGCAGATCTGGGTCTCGTTGGCCTCTCCAGTCACCTGCCAAAACAGAAAAAGTCTAAATGTGCTAATCACTGCAAAAAGAAAATCATCAGTGTTTTAGCTTTGTTTCTAGTCCAAATATCTAAAGATTCTTAAATCAAGAAGCATTTTTTAGACAAGCAAAAACTATTGTCATGTTTTCAGAAAAAAAAAAAAAAAAAAAAAAAAAAAAAAAAAAAAATATATATATATATATATATATATATATATATATATATATATTTATATATATATTTTTTTTTTATTTTTATTTTTTTTTCTGAAAACATGACAACCCATCACTGGGAATAAAGTTTTTAACGTAAATTAGTGTTAGGTAATTTAACTGAACTCACATTGAATATTTGTTTACATGAACATCAGTAATCATCTGAACAAGACAATAATAGGATAAAGTATTTACTTTTGAATGTTGCTTTCATGATCCCTTTTACATGTTATAGCACATAATTCGATTAACATCTGCGTGTCACCTTGCTATCCATGTTTCCTCCGGAGTTTCATGTAATTTCGGTTATTTCATTTTTAATTTGTTGAATTTAACTGCAATTTGGCACTTTTACTTTCATTCAGCAAAATTTCATGAATGCCCCCCACGAGACAAAAGAGATATTGGAAGTGCTGGAAAAGTGCTGTTTTAATGGAATTTGATTCCACACACTGTATAGGAGGAAAAAACCTTTGCATTTTGCGATGCATGTGTCTGTGGTCATTTACTGATTTGGAAGGTGCAGAGAATAGTGTCAAGCAGCCGTGTGTGTATGGACAGTCCTTTCGTAAAATGCAGCGAAAAGTCTTATACAATGGTTTTAAGGTGTTTACATAAGATACTGCACTTCAATAATGCGACTAAAATCGGCATACTCCACATCTATCCGATTTCCGCTTAGTTAGATTATGACTGTAGTCGGATTAAGCTAATCAAAAATTGCATTCGTAGACATGGTAGACTCTTAATCAAAGTATTGTCTTAATGAAGGTCAAGGTGCTCCAGGATTGGCCAGCCCAGTCACCAGACATGAACATTATTGAGCATGTCTGGGGTAAGATGAGGGAGGGGGCATTGAAGATGAATCCAAATAAAATTGATGAACTTGGAGTCTTTATTTTTACAAAATCATGTCTGAAAACATGAGCTTTTTTGTTTATTTGAGCACTATTTTATGCTCTAAATGACATTCTTACTTTGTTTAATATGCAGAAAAAATGTCAGAATAATAATACAGAATAATAAAACACATTTGTGTATCATTTCTAAATTCTAAATAAAATTGCAAAGAATATATCAGAATACTTTTTTTCACAATACCTGTATATTATAACAAAACTAATGTACGAATGACTGAATTAATGTAAAGCAATTGTAGGAGACCTCAAACCTTAATTACAAACCTTTAAAAAAAAAAAGCCAAATCAGCTATTTAAATTAAAACAAAGAATAAAGAAACAAAAAAACCACATTACCTTTAAGCTTCCTTCTCCAGACAGGAACTCAGAGAATCCGGCATCAGTGGCCAGCAGACCAACAAAGGTCATGCCGGGTCTGGCCTCCACGAAAGCCTTGACGGCTGCATCAGTGACCTGCTTACGGCCCGACACATCTAGAGACACAAGCTGAGGCAGAATGCCAGGAGTCTCCAAGAGCTGCCGCGCCACGTCTGATGTGAACTGCTTATCATCCGAGATATCCAGATGCTGTAAAACCTCCAGCTGGACAAACAGAAACAACAAGCATTAGATTGTGTACATACAAATCACAGAAAGAAACTTCTTGGCTACAAATTAGAGATTGAATTAGGATGTTAAGAATATTCTTCTCCCATCTATCCAGTCTATAAGTTGTTAAAGACCACAAGATATAATTATTTATTTTCTAGTACAAAAACCTTGTTTATATTGTCATGTATTTATTCTCTGTACCACTGGTGTGTAGAGAAATGGGCAAAATTGATTTGAAATATGCATTTTTCTTTGCAAGAAACAACCTGCAGACTACATTGCAGCTTAAAGAGCTGGTTTCACAACATACTTTTAAAAAGATTTGAAATGATCTGGAATCTGAAACATTGGTCTGCAGATGGTCTGATTAGTTATGAATGTCATTTTGTGTGTGTATTAATGGATAAATAATGCTATCTGTATTTTTTGTTAAACTCAAGGAAATGGTGTATTTCTAATCTTGGCAAGGACGCTCTTGTAAAAGAGATCTCAATTTGCTTCTTGTAAATTAAGGCCTATAATAATAATAATAATAATAATAATAATAATAATAATAATAATAATAATAATAATAATAAATACTAATACATTGTAAATGATTAATGGAAAGTTTTAATAGAAAATATTATTATATATGAATCATTATGATGCTTTATCTATTTTTATCACACATTATCTTAATTTGATCCAATTTCCATTATTTATGAGAATAGATATATTTTTTTATTCAAATTAATTTTACTAATTATTGTATTTTTTACTACCATGCAAATTATTTTATTAATTATTAAATTACCCAAGCTTTAGTTTTTAATAGACATTTACTTTGATAATTTTTGCATTCCTTTATTTTATACTTGTAATAATTTATTTTTACTTAAATTATGTATACAAATGTTTACTAGTTCAAATGTAAAGTGTATTGTTTATTATAAATTATATAGTTTGTTTTTATTATTTGCCTTTTAATTGTTGATATGTTTTTTTAATTGCATTGTATCTGCTTCAGCTGATAATATTAATTTATAAATTTGTTTTACATATATTTTTTTTCCTGAATTCTACCAAAAAATCTATAAATAAAATACTTAAAATATAATAATAATGCAATTCTAAATATAATTATTCAATTAGCAATTTTTACAAAATAATTTATGTCCTAATATTTTACTTCCTTTCATTATTTCATTGTTTGAGCTTCAGTTGACACAGGGTTGGGCGATGTCGTCCAATTTGGCATCATACAATGTCTAATGTGATCACGATGGACATCGATGGCATCATCTTCATAGGCGACGGTGAGTTAATTATTTATAAATGATTAAATAATTCATAACACATTCATTAGCTTACCGTTTCAACTACCTGACCCACATGGTCTTTGTTTTACCTATAACCAACTCTTAAATAAATTAAGATAAGTTACACGCAAATTACCACCTGTCAATCACTTTTTCCGTGGGACGTGGCATGAACAGGCAGAGTGATCTGGTCGCTATAATGGCGTCGACAAACTTGGTTGGTAAAAAATTTGCACAATCAACAGGAACCAAACAACAGTATTTGAGGTTTTCACTAACATTACTAAATACAAGCATGAAAGCGAAAGATTGAAGCAGTGTACTGACGCTGTGACACGTTAGCTGATAGATTCAATAGACCTAAGATTCATTAGATAGAGACAAGATTAATTAAATCACATTTAACAACTATAGTGAGACATGATCCAGCGGTACATCCTTGATAAAATGTTCGACGTGCACTGCTCTGTTTATTGTTCAAAGCACCCTCTGACAGCTGGATCTCAGACGCGAGCATACGCTAGACTCGACCACATGACAGAGTTTGAGTGTGTGTGTGGTCACTGTTAATGTGAAACGCCAGTGTTGATGTGGATCATTTTTGTTCTAAAATGCCATTTTAAAACTGAGACGTATTAGTGTTTTTCGCGACCGGTTTGCTGCTGCAACGGGGGTGGGGCAGAAGATATTGATGCCAGCTCAGCATTATGATGCCTATCGGCCATAGGCGATAGATGATAGCATCGAATATCAACCTAACCTTATTGACTATATTAATTAATCAATTATTTTTCATAATTATGTTTTTTTTTTGTAATTTACCATCAAATTTATAAATAAAAAGATTTTTTAAAATTAATAAAAAATAATTATACAATTATAAATTATAATCATGCAATTTATTTATCAATTTTTTCTAAATAACTTCTTTCCGAACACTTTTGGGGACTTTTTTTTTTTTGAAGAACTATGTCTAGCTGACCTGACTGAGCACGGCCAGCAGCTGAGCGGTGGTCATCTCCAGCCTCTTGAGCTGGTGCATGGTGAGGTAGCGGAGTCTGCTTCTCAAGCCCAGCAGAGGCGTCAGGTTGGACACTGAGGTGTTGGATATGTCCAAACTCTCCAGACGAGGCAGTAAACACACATCTGCCAATCCCCAATCATAGAAATCAACGTTGGAGACGCTGAGCGCCCGCAGACCCTGCATGGCACTGAAGCAGCGGCGGCTGGGTTCCTCTAGAGAGGACATGGTCAGGCCGTTCAGAACCAGCCGCTGCAGGCTTTCCTGAAGGCTTTTATTAGAGGAGAGTCCACGGAGGATATCGGCTATGGTGAGGTCAGCATTGACCCGTGAAGCGTCCAGCTCCACGAGGCGATGTGGGCAGAGGGCACGGTGGAACGCCTCGGCAGAGATTCGGGCAGTGCGGATGCAGGCATGACGCAAGCGGAACTGCTGACAGTTCCTGAAGATTCCCACCGTACTGTCATTCAACACACCTGCAAGAAAAAAATCAGTTTCAGATTCATTCCAACAGAATTCTGCACTTACTCAAAAAATGATCACACGACACTGTTACAGAAGTTTTCCCCAAATACAGTTGAAGCCAGCCCTTATGTGAGGTTTTTTTATTCTTTTTTTTTATATTTCCTAAATTATGCTTAGCCTACTAAAGACAAATTATTTCCTATAATATATTTTTCTTTTGGGGAAAGTCTTATTTCTTTTAGGTTGGCAGGAATAGAAACAATTTATATTTTTTTAAAAACAATTTCAGGGGCAAAAGTATTGTCCATTTTCAGAATTTCTTACAGAACAAAACACTATTCTCCAATAACTTGCCTAGTTATCATAATCATCCATGTAAGCCTTTAAATTTCACTTTAATATAGGGCTGTACAATATATTGTTTCAGCATTGATATCGCAATGGGGTTATTATATATATATATATATATATATATATATATATATATATATATATATATATATATATATATATATATATTATATTATCTAATTATCTAATAAAAGTTGCACGACAAAATAGTGATATGCATGAGGTGGTGTTTCTCATAATGGGGGATCAAAGATATATCAATGTTGCAATTCTAAGAAATATAATGTCAGGCAAAATATCATGATAATATCGTATTGTATTATTGTACCTGAAAATGTGACTACTTAATTCACTTTTTTATGCTCCATCTTATTTATTTATTCTTGCAATTTCTTTGAATCACTCCTTTACAAGATTATTCCAATTAAAGTTAAGGATTTAATTTAAAATAGAGCTATTCAAGTCATCTGCCGAAATTATATTCGCATAACAATATAAGTCGTAGCAAAACTAAATATTGCAATGTCAGGTTTTTCCTATATCATGCAGCCCTACTTTAGGTTGAATACTAATTTAATGCAAAATAAATACAATAAAAAATAAACATCACTGAAAAAAGTTTGGGTGCTAGATTTTTATGAAAAAGTTAATTTGCTTTACAAACCAGTGTCAAATCTACGAATTATTAAAGGGAAAGTTCACCCAATAATGACTATTTTAATTTAATCACCTCAAGGTCTTCAAAGTTGTTAGTGAATTTTCTTCAGCAGAACATTTTTAGACAAAAATTTTTAAAAATATGTGAAATCTTGGTGATTCACAGAAGCCGATTTTCCACTGTTCGGTATGGTACAGTATGGCATGGCTTGCATTTCCACTATAGTTTAAAAACTTAAAGTGGGTGGGATTATCACTATAGCTGCGCCATCTCTACTGACATGACTGTGTTGTCCAATCCAGTTTTGCTGGATCTGTTCCTCAACTACCAACAAGAGGAACCTCTTGACCTCTTCTGCTGACCACGAAGCAGCCATTTCAGGTACAAGCCCAATGATGCTGTTAGCTAGTTACCCTGCTGGGGACTATTTTCTGCCACTACGTATTATCATTGCTCCTGCTGCAGCCATGTTATGGCAGCAAAGTTCCTTCATTATTTTGTAAGAATAAAAGCATAGTTCCTATCTATATCAGCCTTGATAATAGCAACTTTTTATTTTCCTATCGGTCGTAACTAAACCGTAACCAAAGAAGAGTTAACTTTTATAGGAAAACTATAGAAACTCTTTTTTGAGCAAGATGCAAATGGTCTAATCCGATTCAATTATTTATGCTAAGCTAAGCTAAAAGTGCACCTGACAGACCCGGAGATCAGCTAAATGGATTAAAAAATGGCAAAACTCTGTTTAAAAACGGTTTAATTCTATGGGACTAATACAGTGAGTCTATTATTATTATTATTTATTGATTTTTATTATTATTATTATTTTGCTTTTTCTTATATTACTCAAAAATAATAAAACTATTTTTTTTTAAATGTAATTTTTTATCTTATTTGACTGCTAGACTGTTCCATGATTGGGTGTGGAGGACAAATTTGCACAGATGCAAATATCCTATGAAATAAGCTTTATAATTTATACTTTATGATTATCCTATAGAGCCCCAAGCAAGTGCTTACCAAGCTTATTGGCTGAACCTGCCCCTTATTACTGTTGATTGTGCAGCAATGTCATCTTCAGTTTTTTTTTAAGCCCTCTTCTACTTACCATCGGTGGCCATCTTGCAGAGCAGTTGGTCTGCCAGCTCCTGTGGGAAGACCAGGGGCTCGCGGAAGGATAGAGATCCATCATCCCGCATCTCGCAGAAGAGCTCCAACCTTGAGCTCACCAGACTCATGCACAGATCACTCAGAGATGGCAGAGATGACTTGTCCTAGAACAACAACATCAACAAATCAGACACACCCCTGTACTCTCAAATACTATAGCTTTTTTAACCCTGGTTGGACGTTGTCTTTCATCGCACTGGCAGTAAAACTTCCCTTTTAATGTATCAGATTAAAAAAACAAAAAACAAACGATAAGCGGCCGTCGGTGGTTTAACTTCACAGACAAGCAATCTAAAGTGAATAGTAGTTTTTTTTTCCTTTTTAGTCTTTAAACTAGAGCCAGAAATACCCTAAATAGCATTAAAATACATTTTACAAATTGACATCAATAAGATAGGAAAATACATATTTTTAAAATATTAAATAAATACAAAATATAATTTAACATAAAAATAAATTTACACACACACACACACACAAACACACACACACACACACACACACACACACACACACTCACACACACACACACACACACACACACACACACACACACTCACACACACACACACACACACACACACACACACACACACACACACACACACACACACACACACACACACACACTTAAAGTACTTCTAATCTCACACAGATATAATTCATAAATGAAATATTGAAATATTGTATTTAAATAATATTAAAACATATATTACAAATATTAGACTAATAGACGGGTATATAAAGACAGAGAAAAATAAATGGACAGAGTGATGAATGTTGGATTACAATGAATACAAATTAGATTAAAACATTTTTATGTACAAATTACAGATTTAAAAATCTAAATAAACAATTTAGATACAACATTTTAAAAACATAAAAATCAACACATAACACAATATTTAACATAATAAGTCAATAACAAAATAAATATGTTAAGATGATTAGCCATTTAAATAATATACATCAAATAATAAATCAAATAAATACAACAATGACTTTTTAAATTACAATTTTAATTTAAACAGAGCAACAAAAAAAAAGAAAAGAATAAATAAACAGTTCTTTATGGTTTTCCGTGAAGTCAAAAAGCATTAAGGTGCAGAAGTTTAATAATGAAATCTAAAATAACTCTGATTTGGTCTTCATTGTATTAATTCTGTAACTTTATTTAAACTACAAATGCACTTTTTGTGCCTGGATGCTTTAAACTTAAAATGCCTTTAAAACACATGCAAATGACAAAGTTTTATTCTTTTATTAGTATGCTTTGCTATATATGACTCCAAAAATCTTAACTGTTGTGCCGATCAACTATAATAATAACTCAACAATGCATGTCGATGCTGAAACGATATGCTGTGCAGCCCTAATATAGACAGACAGACAGACAGACAGACCGACAGACAGACAGACCGACAGACAGAAAGACAGACAGAAAGACAGACAGAAAGACAGACAGTCATACAATGTATTATGATTAGTGCAAATTAGACATTTAAAATCAATAAAATAAATCTATTTAAAAGAAATACTTAAATCAATTTAACATGATAAAATAATGAAATAGATACTGGTATTAAATACTTAAATATTAGGTTTAGATGATTAATATTTTTTAAATAACAAACTAAACAAAAAAATCATTTAAATACAAAAATATATTTCTTTTAAGTTTTAAATTTACTAAAATTTAGATTACGATAAGCAAAAATGAATAAATCATTTAAACAAAATAATGACTGTTTAAAATACAATTTTAATTACAATATGCAAACAAAAAGTAAAAACTTAAATAAATCAAAGCAAAAAAAAAAAAATTATTTACATGTCAATTTAACAAAAAGCTTAAAACACTATTAAACAATGAAATAAAAACCAAAAGATTAGATTAGAAGACAATTAAGCAAATAAAATACAGTTGCAAACAGCAGAAAGATACAACAGTAAACTACAAGAAATATAAACTAAAAAGTGGCATATTACAGTAATTGCTAAATGCTGAAGGAGACAATCTAAAACACTTAACGTGAAAAAACATGGCTTAATGTACCAAACCATCAACCAGAGTAACCCAAATTTCTGTCAAACTTTACTTATAATTACCCCTAACTACTGCAAAAAGAACGAATCCCAATTCCATAGATAAAGTGAAAAACATCACATTAAGTGCTTTCTCCCCATTGAAGTCCATTATCAGAAAAAAGCTTAACATTGATTAATATAATGTGATAAAATACTGAATCAAATTTTACTTGTGATTAACACTAACTACAAGCAAAGGATGAGCCCAGTTTCCACAGCTAAAGTGAACAATATTGTGTTAAGTATTTTCCCCTATGTTGTTGCAGGGATCACAATGACATGTAGAAGTGCTTTTTTTGGCCAGCAAGGGTTAATCTGTTATAAATAAAATGTGATTTTATGAACAGCCTTTTTAACATTTGGCTTTCCTCAGTTGTTGTAAAATTGCATTAACTATGAAATTAGGGCCCGTTCTATTGACAATAGTTAGCATTAATTACAAGTAATGTTTGACAGAAACTTGGGTATCCATGGTCAGTGTTAAGGTACAGTACATCAAGTTATTTCCTTATAATGCTCTTCTACAGGGGAGAATGCTTAAAGTGATATCGTTCACTTGATGCACTAAAATAAAAGTTTGTTCTTTTATAAGCTGAAAGTGTTTATGAGTATATTTTTATAGAAATTTAATTGTCTCCAATGAACCACATTAAGCTTTTATAATGGACTTAAATGGGAACAAAACGCTTAACGTGACATTGTTCACTTAGTTCAAAGAATCAGTGCTTGATTTTTTCGCTAGTAGTTAATGTTCTAGTAAAATTTCAGCGATTTTGGTGTGCCCTAATAGTTCAGGGACATTAAGCTTTTTCCTTTTGTAATGGATTTAAAACACATCATGTGAAAATATTCACTGACTAAAATTGCAGCTCATTCTTTAGACATCACTAAGTGTTTGCCATGAGTACGATTTGATAGAAATTTGATTTCCCCCCTCTTGTTCTTAATGTACATTAATCCACATTAAGTTTTTACACAAGAAAATGCTTTTTTTTTTTGTAATTTTTTTTCACTTATATATGGAATTTTGATACATTCTTTTTACAGTAGTTAGGGTTATTTACAAGTAAAGTTTGACATAAGTTTGGGTTTCTCTTGTTGATGCATTAAGCCACGTTAAGCTTTTTTCACTCCAATGAACAACTATTTTATTCAAATTGGTATTTATTCCATAATAAACCAGTTCACATTTTTAATATAAATGTTTAAATGTTGTTATTTGTGTATATTGGAATAAATAAAATAAAACAAAGAAACACTTAAAAGAAAAAAAAAACCTGTGCCCTCGCACAAGAATAATAACAAAATTTGCTAGTCCCAGTGATAAATAACTGAAAGCACCTGGTACTAGTACCCAGTTTTAGGAAAAACCCGTTTGAAAGAAGCAGTTACTATATTACTCAATGGTAACTGAAGAGCATGTCTCAACAGGGTTTGATCTTTAACCTTTCAGCATCTCAATCTCCTCAAGTCATCTTCACGCATTTGCATATATTATTATTATTATGTGTAGTGAATCAAATTATGACTGAAATGCTGTATGTATTACTACAAACCTCTCAGCATGATCTACTGTACTTTAACACCAAAGATAAAGAACATACAGTAAAGCAAACCTGTTTTCTATAAATCACCTGCACCCGTTTGCTAAACACAATACATCTTGCCATCTAAAGCCTTACCATGGTTTGAGAAAGATGGATCATAACGGCCTCGAAATGATGCACACACCAGTTTCTTGTAGATAAATGTGTCTTCGAGTGTCTTGAGGTGTAAATTAAACAAACGCGATCCGACTGAAATGATCTTAGCTTCTTAGCCCGTTAGCCGCCGCCGAACATCAGTCTTCTAACATTTGCAGATCCTACTTGTTGGTACTGAGAAGTGCACGAGCCGCTATTAATACAGTGTAGCTTCTGTTTGTCGTGCGCATTGTTTGTCTGCTTGATTTTTTAGGAATATCTTCTTGTGGACAGCCTCGTACGAGCAACGAGACTTATGTGCTGTCAGGCATTTTGACGGTGTTTTATATTGGGGAGGAGGAAACGGTAGCGACGACGTCTTGACAAGTAAACAAGGTCGTCACACGGGAAACGGATCTGCATCAGAGGGGGCGGGGCTGTGGGCAGGGCTTTCCAAAGATCAACTTCAGATTTTGCATTATGCTTGAAATAAATGGAAATAAGTTAGGTTTTGTGTATATAGACACGGTTTTGTAACAATAATATGAATACAACATAGTATTAAAAATAATATGGATACAAAATTAGCAATATGTGTGTGTGTGTGTGTGTGTGTTAGTTATACACATAAATTTAATATATATATTAAATATATATATATTCATTCATTCATTCATTCATTTTCTTTTTGGCTTTTCTTTTATATACATCATTTATGTAACTATTTAATTATTTGTTTATTTATGTAATTCATGATTTGTGAGTAAACAATAATAATACCAAATTAAAATACTGGCAGAAAATTGTGTGTTTGTGTGTGTGTATATATATATATATATATATATATATATATATATATATATATATATATATATGCTAATAAAACATTATTGAATGCATAAATTATCATGTATTTATTTTCATAATTATTTATAATTTATGAAATTGTTCACTTATTTATTTGTGTAATTTATGAATTTTGGGAGTTCCGCTGTGGCGACCGCTGATGAATAAGCTAAAAAGAAAATGAATGAATGAATTCATGAATTGTGTGTAAACAATTCTAATACAAAATTAAAATAATAACACAAAGTTATGTATATAAGCTAATAAAACAATAATAAAGGTATAAATGATCATGTGTGCAATCATTTCTAAAATTATTTAATTTTATATATGCATTCATTCATTCATTTTCCTTTGGCTTAGTACCTTTATAAATCTGGGGTCGCCACAGCAGAATGAACGGCCAACTTATCCAGCATATGTTTTACATACACCTATACACTTCTCTTTACACACATACAAAAGGGACAATTTAGCTTTCCCAATTCACCTGTACCACATGTTTTAAGACTTGTGGGGGAAACCTAGAGGAAACCCACAGCAACACAGAGAAAACATACAAACTCCACACAGAAATGCCAACTCACCCAGCTGGGACTCGAACCAGCTATTTTCTTACTGTGAGGCGAAAGCACTACCCACTGCGCCACCGGGCTGCCCTAATTATATATATAATTTATGTAATTATAAAAATTTTTTTGTTTATGTAAATCATAAATAGTGATTATAGAATAATACAAAATTAAAATAATGGAACAATATTATGTATATAGGCTAATAAAACATCAATAATTGTATAAATGTATGTAATCATTTCCATAATTATTTAATTATATAATATAATAATTATATAATTTTTAAATGGGGAATAAACAATAATTATACAAAATTCAAATAATGACACAAAATTATGTATATAGGCTAATAAAACAATAACTAATAAGGGGTGCAATGGTAGCACGATAGCCTCACAGAAGGTAGGTCGCTGGTTCGAGCCCCGGTTGGATCAGTTGGCATTTCTGTGTAGAGTTTCCATGTTCTCCCCATGTTTACGTGGGTTTCCTGCGTGTCTTCTGGTTTCCCCCAGACATGCGCTATTAGTGAATTGGATAGGCTTAAATTGGCTGTGGTGTATGTGTGTGAATGAGTGTGTATGGATGTTTCCTAGTGATGGGCTGCAGCTGGAAGGGCATCCGCTGTGTAAAACATATGCTAAATAAGTTGGCAGTTCATTTCGCTGTGGCAACCTCAGATTAATAAAGGGACTAAGTCAAAAAGAAAATGAATGAGTAAATAAATATAACTTCTGTAATTTAATTATTTGTTTGTGAAATGTTAATCTTAATTTTAAACTATAATGATACAAAATGAAAATAATAACACAAAATTATGTATATAGATTAATGGATACATTTTGTAAATTTTTTTTTTTGTTAAAACAATTTTAGTTTAAGTTGATAAATAAATAAATACAAATTCAATAAAAACAAAAATGATAAAGTTATAATAATACAAAAGAAAAATATTAACATGAAGACAAATAGTCAATACAAATAGAAGATTGTTTTAGTGTCTTTGTTAACAAACACATACAGTTTGAATTATATGTAATGGTAAAAATGATTAAGTAAAAATATGTAGTTTCAAAAATAATTTGGTCCAAACCCTTGACTGAAAGAGTCGTGATATTAGCACACAGTTTACATTTCATTTACTATAACATTTCATTTTCCTCTCAGTTGTTTTAAATACATTTTTAGCCCCAAAATGATATTTTATTCTATATTTAATTAACCAAATGTTAATTCCATTCTTATTTCTATTTATATAGGTTTTTATCATAGGAAAAACAGTCGACCAATCAGTAATAAACAATAGGCGGGGCCTACGGAAGCCCGGTAGTCCCATTAAGCGAAGTAGGAAGCTTGAAGCACGTTCTGATGTAAGTGCTTCACAAAAATAAACATCTGTAACCGCTTGTCAACTCTGAACTAAACGAATCTCTTATGCTTTGTACGGACGCGTTGTTATTCATCTATTAAAAAAAACTTCGCAAGTTCTTGTACAGCCAATACCAGTGACCAAGGTCAAAAGTGTCTTTCCTCGAGACCTTCAGCCGGAGTGCGTCAGGTGTCAAAGTATCCGTAAAACTGAACACATGGCCGGCTTAATCAACTTCGAGGACGAGCAGGAGGTGAAGCAGTTCCTGGATAATTTAGGAGTGGAGTACAGCTACCAGTGTTACCGGGAGAAAGACCCTGAAGGTGGGCAGAGCGCTGTTCTTCTGCTTCTGGTGCTGAATGACTTTTATTTTATGGAGAAATCTGACATTGATTGCCATATTTAGTTGCCTTATATAGTTTCTTTTTTTAGGATGATTTGAATAGCTCTGTTTGGAAAAAAATCGTTTATTCAGATTTGGTAGGATTTTGTGATTTGTGCAAACTATGACAAAAAATTTCCTGAATAGATTGCAATTAGTGTGTTTAAGTTCGATCTTAAGTAGCGCTGCAACGATTAATCGCGGTAAATTGCGTCCAAATTAAAAGTGCTCCTTTACATAACGTGTGTGTGTTGTGTATTAGGGCTGCAAAATATTGGTAAAAAAACTGACATTAAGTTATTTCTGCAATAGATATTGCATTATGGGCAGTTCATTCCGCTGTAGCGACCCCAGATTAATGAAGGGCCTAAGCCGAAAAGAAAATGAATGAATAAATATTGCAATATAAATAAAATTTCAATCATTAAAAAATTTTCATTGATTGGGATGGATTTGAAGGAGAGTGCATCTGCATAACATATATAAACAAATTAAAGCACAGATGGAAACAACAGAACAAAGATAAAAAGCAAATAAACAGTATTTTAAGGTTTGTTGTGGAGTCAAACTATATTGAGGGACAAAAATTCAATGATCAAATCTAAAATAACACTGTACAGTCTTCAATTTTTAAATAATTAAACACAATCAATCTTTGTCAAAGTGGCAAGCTTGTAATGATGTAACTTGCAATTATTTCTTGTTCTCAGATAGTTTAAACTTGCTTTAAATCGTTACATGCCTTAAACACACTTCAAAGTAAAAATCTTTTACAGTATTAAATTATGATTCAATTTCACAATGACTGCACAAAGCATGTGTACTGAACTGTATTTTTGGTTAATTATAATCCTAACTTGACATTGCAGATGTACACATTGCAATATTGAAGCTGAAACGTTCTATTGTGCAGCCCTACTGTGTATATTTATTATATATATATATATATATATATATATATATATATATATATATATATATATATATATACATACATACAGTTGAAGTCAGAACTATTAGCCCTTCTGTTTATTTTTTTCCCAATTTCTGTTTAACTGAGAGAAGATTTTTCAGCACAATTCTGAGCATAATAGTTTTAATAACTCATTTCTAATAACCGATTTATTTTATCTTTGTCATGATGACAGTAAATAATATTTGACTAGATACTTTTCAAGACACTTCTATACAGCTTAATGTAACATTTAAAGGCTTAACTAGGTTAACTAAGCAGGATAGGGTAATTTGACAAGTTATTTTATAACGATGGTTTGTTCTGTAGACTATTGAAAAAATATGTAGCTTAAAGCTGCTAATAATTTTGACCTTAAAATGGTGTTTAAAAAATTAAAACCTGTTTTTATTCCAGCCGAAATAAAACAAATAGGACTTGTAAAAAAAATATTATCAGACATACTTTAAGGGGGGGGCTAATAATTCTGATTTCTGATATATATATATATATATACATACAGTAAATTTACATATGTTATTTTAATACAATTTTTGTTTTATTATAGATGCAATTAATCACTATTTATTTTAACCTAGCACTTATTTTATGTCATTAGTTTTTGTTTATAAATCTTCAAATGGCCTGGCACCTCCTAATCTATCAGATCTACACTTGTATACAGTATCCAGCAGGTCATTAGGGTCATCAGATCAGCATTTCTATCCATACCAAGGACCCAGAGTAACTGAAGAGAGGATCAGGCTTTCACTCTTATAGCTGCAAAGTGCTGAAATAATTTTCCACCTCACATATACACTCCAACTATACATGTTTTTAAAAACCTCCTGAAATCGATTCTTCCGTTTGAGCCTTCAGATTGTGTAATGGTTTGTTCTTATGGTTTAGTTATTTTATTTATGTGTTGTGTGATTCTATCGCATCTTTCTTCTTATGTGAATCTTTTGTAAAGCTGCTTTAGAATGCTAATTATTGTGAAAACAACACGCTATACAAATAAAATTAAATTTTATCTCTCCTCCTTCTCCTCCTCCTTCTTCTTCTTCTTCTTCTGTGTTTTCTCTTTGCTTAGGGTGTCACAGACTGGCGGATTACTTGGAGGGAGTGAAGAAGAACTACGAGTCCACCGCTCAGGTCCTCCAGCACAACTGTGAGGTGAACGCACACGCGCAGAGCTGCTATAAACTTGGGGCTTATCATGTCACCGGCAAAGGTAAAAGCCAGCAGTTGAGTACACCGAGAATTTATGACCAAATGCATTAATAAGTCCTCAATCTCACCTCAAATGAACATAACACTGTTATTTATTTGTAGATTCTTTTAATAATACATAAAAATACACATGAAAGTCTGTTTGCTTTATCGCCTAATTACTTTCAGATTATAGCTTCTAACTGTTTATTGATTAATTGATGTCTATAGAATTAGTCTAAATATTTTTTATTCGTAAAAAGTAGATGTTATTGTAATTTTTGGTTAGAATTTTATGTTATATCTGAAAGATTTAATGGAAAAGATGCTTTAAAAATGAAACAAAATAAGCAGACTGTTCTCATGAGTGCGGATCACATTTTTTTATTATATTATTTAATAATTATTATTATTTCGAGGGTGTAAATCTGTGGTAAATGTCTGTTTTGTTTACTTGCCTACATATAACAGATATTACTTTAATTAAAAAGTAATATTTAGATAAAGACTGTATAGTAAAACAACTGAAGTTGACCAAAGTGCTGTACATGGGAGTACTAAAGACAGAGAAAAAAATAAAATGTAAATAAATAAATAAGTAAAATCAATTTTAAAAACATTAATCAAGGAGTATTCATAACTAAACAAAACATATAGGTCTTTAAAACAAACTTAAACACAGAAATGAAGGGGAAATATATATACATACTGTTTATTTTATGTATACATTATATTCAGAAGGTCATGATTCACACTCGTTACATAATTACCCTCTATAGCTTAATTTTACATTCTTTCCGGCACAACGTTTCGGCACAGTGTACTTCAGTGCTTGACACAATGTTCTCACCCCACCCTCATATTTTACAGTCAATCACATAACGTCCTTAAAACAATCTAATTTTTGATTTAATATAGCGAACAACCCATGGAATATTTCCTCCACCTGCAAAATCTCCATTGTACAGAAAAATAACATCTGAATTATCAATATTCACTTATTCATGCAATTAATCGAAAATCCGGTTTCGATTTCGTCTTCTAACGATTATGAAAAACCATTAATCGAAATATACGATTATTCCATCATATACCGCCTCCTTTCCAGTTGTACACATTTGTTGCTCTGCAAAGCTCAGTTTCACGTAAAAAAGAAAGAGCACGTGTTGTTGTGTGTGTGCGCGCACCGCGCTTAGCCTTGGACAGGTGGCGCGCGCGCGCGCGTGTGTGTGTGTGTGTGTGTGTGTGCGTGTTTGTGTAGCTTTTATCTTTGCTATGATGACAGTACATTCTATTAGACTAGATATTTTTTAAGATAGGCTACTAGTATTCAGCTTAAAGTGACATTGAAAGGCTTAATTAGGATAATAAGCAAGTCATTATATAACAGTAGTTTCTTCTGCAGACAATCAAATATATATATATATATTGCTTAAAGGGGCTAATAATATCGAGCTATTAAAATAGGTTTCAAAAAGTTTTAACCTGATTTTATTCTAGCTGAAATAAAACAATTAAGCCTTTCTCCAGAAGAAAATATTATAGGAAATAATGTAAAAAAAAATCCTATGTTAAACATTATTTGGGAAATATTTATGTATAAAAATAAATTCACCGAAGGGCGAATAATTTTCACTTCAACTGATAATCGTTTTAGATAATCGTGATTACAGTTATGACCAAAATAATCGTGATTAGGATTTTTCCCATAATCGAGCAGCCCTAGTATTCAGTGAGCATATCCGTAATATATTAGGGTCCAAGGCCATTTAGTGATTTATAGACAAGTAATAATACTTTAGACTCTATTCTGAATGTATTTGGGGGACAGTGTGAAGACCTGAGGGCAGTTGTGATGTGCTCTGATTTTTTGGTTCTGATCAGAATCCTGGCCGTAGCATTCTGGATGAGCTGCAACTATCTGACTGTGTTTTTGGGAAGGCCAGTGAGGAGTCAATTACAGTAATCCAATCTACTGGTGATAAGCGTGTTTGTTTGCTAGTTTTTGAGATGATAGTATGCTAATTTATTTACTGCTTTGGCATGACTATTGAAACTCGGATTTGACTCCAGAATCGCACCAAGATTCTTGACCTTGTTTTTTGTTGTTTGACCCCTAGAGCCAAGGTACGCATTCACCTTGAAAACCTCATCTTAGTTCATAAATGTAATGACTTCAGTTTTCTTGTTGTCTTCGGCACGTCCAACTGTTAACTTCATCAATGCGTTGGCAGAGGGTGACAATAGGGCTGTAGTCATTACGCAATAAGGCTAGTAGATCTGAGCGTCATCAGCATAGCTGTGGTAGAACATTTGGTTCTTTTACATTATTTGGCTCAGTGGGAGCATATACTATAAAGGTTGAACAGGAGGTGCCAGAATTGAACTTTGTGGGACTCCACGTCATGGGTGTCCACATCGACCTATGGTCACCTATACTGACATAGTAACCTCTCCCTTCAAGGTAAGATCTGAACCATTTGAGGACCGTCTCAGACAGCCAAACCCAGTTTGCCAGCCTATCCAGAAGTATGATGTGATCAAATGCAGCACTGAGATTGAGTAATATCAGCATTGTTAGTTTGCCTGAATCTGTATTTAGGTGGATATCAATGTTGATCTTTATAAAGGCACTCTCTGTACTATGATGGTGACAAAAACCAGATTGAAAATTGTCTAAACATCCCTTGAAGTTTAGGAATGGGTTTAAAAAGATGGTTCAACTTTTTCAATGATTGTGCCAATAAAAGGGAGATTTGAAATCAGCCTGTAGTTGTAGTTTTCAAGAGGGGTTTAGCAACTGCAGTTTTATGTAAGTTTGGAAACATCCCTGAGAAAAGTGAAGCATTTACCACTTTTAGGAGACTCTGTTCTAAACAATTAAACACTGTTTAGAAGAATGATGTGGGAATCGTGTAAAGCAGGTTAATGTTTTCATAATCTGTACGATCTTTTCCAGGAGTTTACATACTGTTTAAATTCTTAAGGTGAGATTGAACATGTCTGACGTCGACACAACTTGACTGATTGAATGAGCAGATTGCCTTTCTGATATTTTTGATCTTAACAGTAAAGAAAAACTTGTTACATTTACTTTTAGAGAGAAGTTCACTAGCAATCCTACTGAGTTATCATAATCCTTTGGGGGTGATCCTTATGATTATATACTGTAATTCAAATGTAACTATTTATTTATTTCATATATACAGTGCATCTGGAAAGTATTGATAGCGCTATGCTTTTTCTACATTTCCTAATGCTACAGCCTTATTCCAAATTGGATTAAATTCATTTATTTACTCAAAATTTTGCGCACAATACCCTATAATGACAATGTGAAAGAGGATTTTTTTTTAATTGTTGCAAATTTATTAAAATAAAAAAAAAAACTTACCAGTTACATGTACCTAACTTAAGTCCTTGCCGGTGTGTTGAAGCAAGTTGGAGCTAAAATTTGCAGGACACGGGCACTCCAGGACCGAGTTTGGATACCCGAGACATTAGTATTGACATAAGCTCTAAATTGAGCTCAGGTACATTCTTTTTCCTCTGATCATTCTTGCAGCTTAATTGAGTTGACCTTTGGTAAATGAATTGGTTGGACATGATTTAAAAAGGCATACGCCTGTCTATATAAGGTCACAGGGTTGACAGTGCTTTTCAAAGCAGAAACCAAGCATGAAGACAAAGGAATTGTCTGTAGACCTTCGAGACAGGATTGTCTTGTGGTACCAGGCTGGGGAAGGTTAAAGAAACATTTCTGCTGCTCTAAAAGTTCCAATAAGCACAGTGGCCTCCATCATCTGTAAGTGGAAGATGTTTGGAACCACCAAGACCTTTCCTAGAGCTGGCTGGCCATCTAAGCTGAGTGTTTGGGGGAGAAATGCCTTAGTCAGGGAGGTGATTGATAACCCAATGCTCACTCTGTCTGAGCTCCAGCGTTCTTCTGTGGAGAGAGGAGAACCTTACAGAAGGGCAAACATCTGTGCAGCAATCCACCAATCAGGCCTGTATGGTAGAGTGGCCAGACGGAAACCACTCCCCAACTGGAATTTGCCAAAAGGCATCTGAAGGACTTTCTGACCATAAGAAACAAAATTTTCTGGTCTGATGAGACTAAAATTGAACTCTTTGGAGTGAATGTCAGGCATTACGTTTGGAGAAAACCAGGCACCGCTCATCACCAGGCTAATACCATCCCTACAGTGAAGCATGGTGGTGGCAGCATCATGCTGTGGGGATGTTTTTCAGCAACAGGAACTGGAAGACTAGTCAGGAAAGAGGGAAAGATGAATGCAGCAATGTACAGAGACATCCTGAATGAAAACCTTCCTAGAGTGCTCTTGAGCTCAGACTTGGACGACTATTCATCTTCCAGCAGGACAATGACCCAAAGCACACCACAAAAATATCGATGGAGTGGCTTCACAACTACTCAGTGTTGTCAGAATGTCATTGAGTGGCCCAGCCAGAGCCCAGACCTAAATCTTACTGAACATTTCTGGAGAGATCTGAAAACGGCTGTACATCGTCGCTTCCCATCCAACCAGATAGAGCTTGAGAGGTACCGCATAGAGGAAAGACCAAAAATTCCCAAAGGCAGGTGTGCCAAGCTTGTGGCATCATATTCAAAAAGACTTGAGGCTGTAATCGCTGCCAAAGGTGCAACAAGAAAGAATTGAACAGTGAATACTTATGTACATGTGATTTATTTTCAGATTTTTTTATTTTTAATAAATTTGCAACAATTTAAAACACTTTTATTTCACATTGTCATTATGGGGTATTGTGTGTAGAATTTTGAGGAAATATATGAATTGAATCCATTTTGGAATAAGGCTATAGTATAGTATATTTCAAAAATTGAAGCGCCATGAATACTTTCCTGATGCACTGTAATAGTAAAATTAAATAAATATGGAAATACTCGTAATTAAACAGTGTTCACATATAACTAATGTTAGATACATGTGAGAATGAGTAGTTTTATTTCATATTTCAATCTTCTTTTGTCATCAGGCGGCATGAAGAAATGCTTAAAGACGGCATACTCCTGTTTTCTGAAGTCGTGCAACACTCAAGGGAAGAAGTCTGTGGATGCTTGTCATAATGTGGGTCTGCTGGCTCAGGACGGGCGGGCACTGGAGACCGGTCCTGACACCACTGTGGCCCGGCAGTATTTCGAGAAGGCTTGTGAAGGAGGCTTCGCTCCCAGCTGTTTCAACCTGAGCACACTGTACATCCAGGGCTTTCCAGGGCTGGACAAAAGCATGCCGTTGGCGCTGAAATATGCACTGAAAGCCTGTGATCTGGGACATGTGTGGGGCTGCGCCAACGCCAGTCGCATGTACAAACTGGGCGACGGGACAGATAAAGACGAGCAGAGGGCAGAGGAGCTGAAGAACAGGGCGAAAGACCTGCACGGGCAGGAGAAAGAGAGACAGCTCAAATTTGGGGAGTGAGATTGTGACCATCTGTTTTCATATCGCTGATTTAAAAAAATAAATAAAGTAATTTATGTTAATAAAAAAGGCCTTAGATATCATTCTGTCAAATCTGATTCATGACTGAAGGGGATTTATTTCATTTAAAGGGACGGTTCAAATGAAACCATCATCATTTACATTTTAAAAAAAGTTTCTTCTGTTGAACACAGAAGTAGATATTTTGAAGAATGCTTGTTGATGGTAGCCTCACATATTGACATATTATCCTACTGCGGATGTCAAGAGGTGCCAGCGACCAACATTCTTTAAAATATCTTCTTTTTCATTTAATGAAACAAGTGAAATGGTGAATAATTGATGACAGAATTTTTAGTCTACTTCAAAGCATCTTCTTTTGTGTTCAGCTGAAGAAAGGAACAAATAAACGTTTAAAAACCACATGAGGGCGAATAAAAAATTAGGAAATTTTCATTTTTGGGTGATCTGTCTCTTTAAGTTCCCATTGATATAGTCTTCTATTAATATTAAAGATATTCTTTACAGGCAGCAAGAAGGTTGCTGGTTCGAGCCTCAGCTGGGTCAGTTGACATTTCTGTGTGGAGTTTGCATGTTCTCCCCTTGTTGGGTTTCCTTGATTTGCTCACTAAAGCCTTTGCATTGTCTCGTGACAAACAAAATCTGATTCATTTACAGCATTTAATTGAAGCATTTAATTTCAGTTAGCTTTTAATAATAAAAACAAACTAACAAACAAAGGGTTGCATTAAATTTTAAAGGAAAACCATATCTATCATTCTCTCTCGCTTCTCAGATGGGATGATGGGCGAAATTAAAGGTCACAATGGGCCAACTTTAGCACCCGGGCCCTAGTTTAAGTGTCTGTTAAAGTTTTATTTATTTATTTATTTGTTTATATATATATATATATATATATATATATATATATATATATATATATATATATATATATATATATATATATATATATATATTTTTTTTTTTTTAAAGCAAATTAAACTGACAACAAGGTAAGCAAAATAACGATGTTTTTCCGTTTGACATAATAAGAGTATTATACATAAGACCTAAGACCCCATTGGCAGATTGTTTTGCTCGTTTAAAGGGAAAACTCCCTTAATTTTAACATATTATTTCTTAAAATAAGACAATATGTTTTGGTTGTCTGGAAAATTGTTCTTGAAATTAACTAATTTAAAATAAATAATTTAAAAATGTTTAGATATATGGACTAAAAACAAGAAATAATCCTATTGAGAAGAACATTTTTGCGTAAAACTCGATAGCTTGAAATGGCCACTAGATGGAAGCATAACCAAACTCAATTGAATACAGGAAATGCTGGCGAACTGGTCATGTTTTATGATCCACAAATTTCATGGAACACTCATTTCATAGTTGTCGCATATTTGTTCAGCACAAATGGCAAACAACATCAAAAATGGCTTCTGTGGCAGCTTTAAGAATTACTCTCAGAAAAGATGTCTTCAAATATTCACTTTTTAGTTTCTCCTTCTTGTTTTTGCCCACAAAACCAGCCTTTATCGACAGTTTTTTGTAACAGAGATGTATACACCAACTAAAATCTGAATAATTAAGCGTTCCATCTGAATATTTTGACAAATATGATGGCAATTGCCAAAAACACTGTGCAGCGTAAGACAAGGTTAGATGGATGGATGGATGGATGGAGGAAGGGAGTTAGATAGATTTTTTTGTCAGATGGTGATCTCGTGGTCTTGGTGTCAGGAGGTCAGTGTCTGTTATTAGCATTGGGAACTGAGGATGACCCATTTAAATATCAGAACTGTGTTGTTTTTATAACTTTCAGTTCAGTTAATGTTTTTCAAGTCTACATGTGTCCAAACACCATTCCTATTCGGTTTAATCAATTCACAAGCCGATTATAACCCACTTTGAGTCAGAAATTAAAAAATGAATCACAAACATTCCCTTTTTTTAGTGAGTCAAAAACACACAGTGATTTAGTGTCATTCTCAAACAAACAACAACTCTTAAGTGGGGCTTCTCAGGACATCAAAATCAGATTTAATTTTTTTTATTTTTTATTTTTATTAATCAGTTCTATGCCGATTGTCAAAAGAAAAAGAAAAAAAGCCTTGTTCCGTTTACATCTTTATTATGAGTATCTTGAGGACATATTTTATCTGGAATAAATCAAAAAGAAATGTTGAAAAATTAAATAAAGATTATTTTCCTCATGTTCAACTTAATAGGAACTTATCTGATTGTTTCTAGTCATTTTGCTGTAATCTGTGATATTGTTCACAAATGTATGCCAGTTTAATGCTTGAAGTCAACTTAACGTTTTCAAATTCCAATGGGTTTACTCATTTTAAAAGTATATCAACTTGTTGCATTTAGGGCAACAGGTGTACTCCATCACTGTAAAAATGCTGGGTTCCTTTCCAACACAAATTGTTTAAGTTAACTTGATTGTTTTTACAAATTCAAGAGGATTGAACATAAAATACTTAAGTTGTTCCAAAGAAACTCAAAAATTGTGTTGAGTCAGCTCATTTTAAATAAGAAGCAGGCAGCAAAAATATTTTTTAGTGTTTTTTAATTTAAAAAAAATCACTTTTTTACAGTTTTATTGGGAAGAATTTCAGTTTTCTCTCTCTAAGATGGCCTTAAAAAACTTAAATTATATTCAGGTTTTTCTAAAAATTGATGTTGTACTAAAGGAACCAATTATAGAATTGTTAAACCCTCCCTTTACCATGTTTAATATTTATTTATTTGTTTTTTTATTGAGAACATTGACATCAAAAAGGGAGTTACATAAAAATTAAAAGACAAGGGATATTGTTAACAAAGCACTTTGCGTTCAAGGAAAAGATTAAACAACTTACAGATTTTTTTCACAACCTACTCATAGTTATAATTAATTAGCTATTAACTAATAAATTTATGGTAACTAATAACCTTATTATTGTTTTTTTTTTTTGTAGTAGTAGTATTGTGTATGGAACAAAATCAATGGCAAAAGTATTGAATTAAAAAAGCTTGTTGAATAGCACAAACTGAAAAAAAAATAATACACCGAATTAACAAGTTCTTGCATTGAATGACTTGAATGCCAGGGTTTGTATTTTTAGGTCCTGAAATTTAACATAGCTGTTTATTTAAGCTGTGAATATTTCAATGAAAACTATTTCAAACACGTTTTCATATTCTTCAATCTGCAATCTGTTGCTTTTCCCGCAGTTCCCGGATGTAATGTTGAATTTTAACCATCAAATTTGATCCACCGAATTTATGGAATAAAATATTTGAACTGAAATAAAATATACTGAAAATTGCCTTTTGAATATTATATATCGTATTTTAAAAGAGTATTGAATATTTTGTTTGTGAAATCAGGAATTTGAATATGAAATTTTGAATTTATAAGCATGAAAACGTGTTTCAAATATAAAAAAAACTTGAATTGAAATATTACACAAGTTAGAAACAGTTCAGCTAAGAAAATAAAAAAGTTACCTGAAATTATATATTTAAACAACAGTTCTGTTTGGTTCTCGAATCTGATTAGCTGATAGCCATGCGATGTTCTGCAATAACTGCACTCGTACAGCCTCTTCACCATTGTCTATTACTCCACCCACAGAGAGTGACAGCAGATAAGTAATTTCACTGCAGTTTGACAAGTATTGCAGCTGTTGGACAACATAATGTACTTTTGAGGCTTTTAGGCAAAAATGTACTTGTTTAGATTGCAACTATACAGTTTATTAATAAGGATATTTTATATATATATATATATATATATATATATATATTCAACAGTTCTGTCTGGTTCTCTAATCTGATTGGCTGATAGCCGTGATATATTTAAGTAATATCGGCACCTATACAGCCTCTTTGCCCTTTTTGTATTACTCCGCCCACATACAGCCAGCAAAAAGCAGACACTACAGATCTAAAGTTTAAAAGATGCTTGCTAAACTGTCAGCTTATGATTTGAATCCAACGTGGAAGAAAGTAGTTCCTCATACAAAAGGGTTTTTAAGACTCTCCATGTTTGATTTTGTTTTTATATACACAATTATGCCGTCAAACTGTTGCATCGGCCTGCGGCCTCGTGCCAACGCACGCCTCCCACCAGTGCCGATATACAGCCAGATGTCACTGCTACTCGTGTAATATTGCTTATATATAAATATATATATATATATATATATATATATATATATATATATATATATATATATATATATATATATATATATATATATATATATATATATATATATATATATATATATATATATATATATATATATATATATATATATATATATATATATATATTTTTTTTTTTTTTTATATATTTATAATTTCTGAGACAGAATGTTGGCATCTATTAGACTGTCATGAGCAGAGCAAAGATGGTTGATGCTTTGCCACAAGATGGCGACAGAGACCAGGTAATAAGTCCTAAGAGAAGAAAAACTTTGCGAAATTTTAAACTACAGCTGATCAAACCATTATAAAATAGGTAAGTGACTTTCTAAGTCGATCTCTGTTTTGTTTGTTGTAGTGCTGTACTTATTACCATAGTAATCTGGTAGCGTTGGCTTTTCTTTGGCTTTTTAGGAGTCAATTATTGTGATTTCCCGATTGCAACAGAGAAATACTGGAAAATGTATCTAGACTGATGGCATTTCATGCAGTTTAGCCTTAAAATCTTAAAATCGCCTGTTTTCATCCCATTAGATATTACGCTAGAGAATCATTCAAACACTAGCTTTAAAGTGACGTTGGTGAAGTAGCAATGTTTTCTACTGTTCTGAAGTCAGCTGCAGATGTGAAGCAATGGCGGTGGAAAGTAGTTCCTCGAACAAAAAGGTTTTTAGACTCCGTGCTTGATTTTCTTCTCTATATTATGTCGTCAAACTGTTCACACTCATAGCAGTGACATATGGCTGTATATCGTCACTAAGACAACACACGCCTCCCACCAGTGCCGATCTACAGCCATATCACAATACTCATAAGATATTGCACATATATATGAAGTTAGTTAGCAAGATAAAGTAATGTTTTGTTTCATTGTAAATACCCAACAAACACACAACGTTGCTGCGATGTAACGACCTTCCTACAACGTTGTACCAACGTTGTAAAAAGGTTGAGGATCTGCGTTATTGGCGAAGGTTGTCACAACTGTGTCATAATGTTGCCATTTAAATGGCCGTTACTTTAGGTTGTGTTTAGGTGGCATGAACAACCACTTTACAACATTTACTGATCATCAGTGAATCAGTTTAAATTCCAACAGACCGTTCAACATCTCATTCAACAACGACAGAGTAGACGTGAGTATTGCTTTTCTTCTTCTTGCTAAATAAATCATCAGTGGTCATTTGTGTAGTCCGGTTGTGTCAAGCTCTGGTCTGTCCTCTTGTTCACTGCCTTGTGGCCTTTTGACTTGTGGCTGCTGTGGATCCATGGATCTCTGAACTGGATTCTCTGTTGGATTTCTTGCTGTGACTGCTTTCTCCGTACCAACAACTACACCTGGTCTTGGGCTGCGCTTCCCGGTCTGCTGTATTCTCCAGTCCAGAGCTTCAATGTAGTGTCTGCATTTTAATTAATTAATTAATTAATTACTTTATTTATTTATATTTTAATGATTTCTTTTTTACTTCTCTTGTTTGTTTACCTTCTTAATTTACATTTTAATTTAGCCTACCCTTTGAGTTTTATTATATATAGTTAATTATTTAATATAATCTAAACTTTATTTTATACTGTTTGCTTATTATTAGATGTGTACTTTATGCATTAAATGTTGTGAAATATATAATAAAAAAGTTTGATTATGTACATTTGTGTGACATTTTTACACTTCAAAGCTTACACGTGTAGGGAGTTAGTTTTTTTTTTCTTTATTATTCAATCAAAAGTATTTAGTTTTAAAGAAAAACTAACTCCATACACATGCAGTTGTTAAATTAAAAAGGAAAAAAAAAATAATTAAAAATATTTAATATTAAGCAATACTGGAACATTAATACTGCTTATCCTGTATTCTAGGCAGTATTGATAAACTGCCAGGAAAAAAGCATTAATACATGTAGTAAGAACGTCGTCTCACGGTTGCTGAATGTTACACGACAACGTTGCTACAGCCTTCTCACTTACATTTGTGTTACGTTGTGACATTGTAGCGAGCACGTAAAAAAATGCAACGTTGTACAGACATAACTACAACGAAGATGTGTTTGTTGGGTATTTCCCCAATATTAACAAATCCAAAACTAAACATTTTCCCAAAGTAAAGAGAAATCAGACAAACTATCTTGCAGGCAAAATCAAAACCATAGCCATTACAATAAACTGATGTTAAATCCATAAAGCAATAACAAACATATTCATTTATTAGAGGAAGTATCGAAAAAGCAATGCTTCTCCACCGCAAAACAAGGCAAAACAGAAGGGTAGGGCATATTTTGAAACAGTCAGATATTAACTCATATTAGCATCAAAACAATAGCAAATTATTTGTGTTAATAGGAATATTAAAGCGACAAAAAATGTATCTACCTCACCAGTTACTATATAACGCTTGTCTTTTCATTGACACGGCTGCAGGAGCCTGAAACCGCTCCCTCTTTCAGCTCTCCTCCAATAACACCCTAGCAGCATTAGATAGAGCCCTAGCCCCGCCCATCACACACTCTCCTCCAATAACATCGCAGCCGAATCAGACTGAGACCGTAGCCCCGCCCACTGTCGGATCAACGGACACACTCAACACATACACAATTACCGCTCCTGCCGGATCATTACAGGCGCGCAGCTGTTGTTGTTGTTTTGCATTGTTTATATTAGTTTGCTGGGAGCATCGCGTGGACCTTAGAGTAACGATCGCAGCATCTCTGCACCGGAGTGGAGCCCAGATCGCGAAGCGGTGAGTTTGACGCTGTTTTAGTTGCTTGTGATGCACTGAGCTGTTATGAGCGGGATGTTAGCAAACAGGCTACAGAAGCAGCACGCCTAGGATGCGATTAATAGCCGCTCCGACCGGCGACATGCTGTTAACGGACTAAAGATGCGCCCGTTTGGGAGGGAATCCGTGTGTATGTGCGTGTCAGGCGCTTGATGTGAGTTTTTGCCTGTATAGTGCTCGCTTTCTGTTGATAATGGGCTGCGCTTTTGCGGCTGGCGTGTTCGTGTGTGTGTAATAATCTGCGGGATTAAGTTTATTCTCGTGCTGGATGGAGGTGGATCACCGCAGGATAACGGTTGTTTGTCTGGAGGGGGTTTCACGTGCCCTCCACCTCGCTCCGAGTCGGGGTGTGTCACACACACTCCAGCCGAGGCTTATTTCACACCTTCACAAGCTGATTTCTTTCAAAATTGCTCAGATTTTATGACAGATATCATAGTTGCTAGCTACTAATTAATATGGAAGTCGTGTCGGCCATTACTGTCATGACAAGCAAAGACATTACAATTCTGACAGCGTTTGAAGGAGATTCCATATAGGTTAGCTGTTGTAGATATGTGTTTAACTGTGCTTAAACTGATCAATTTTAAGGAAGTATGTGGACAAAATTGGAAGGAGATAACACTAAAGGGTTAATTCACCCCAAAAGGAAACTAGTATTAATTAATCACCCTCTGAGCCCTTCATTTGTCTTCGCAAATCAAGTTAGGTTATTGAAGATGAAATCCGAGAGCTCTCTCATCCTCCATAGACAGCAACAGAATGGAGACGTTTAAAGCCTATAAAAGGTACTAAAACAATGTCAAAACATTCCACGTGTCTTCAGTGGTTTAAATGTTAGCATACGAAGCTCCAAGAACACTTTTATGCAGCAAATAACCTGTAATATTACTTGGTTTGTTTTTGTCCTCCTGTCAGTGACGGGTGCTATGGGCAGTACAACATATGGCCATTAAGGTGCGTGCTCAGCGTAGCGTTTTAGCGATGCAGAAAAGTAATTGCTGTTCTTTTCTTTTGTTGTCAGTAGAACCGCTGCATTTTTATAAGTCCAATTAAATTATAATAACGTTTTTTTTTTTTGGATGTTACAATCAGTATTGTTCGTTTTTAGGATATCAATAAACTAGTGTAATCTAAAATTGTGACAATTTGCGTTTAGAAGACCTAAAACTGATATAAACATGTAAAGCATTAACTCATACTACAGTTTCTCATCAAATCATAACTAATCAAATGCTCTCTAGTGTCTGACATGCCCCGCCCCTTTCAACATGGTTCTTGTGTGCTTTTGATTTGATGCACTTGAGCTCAATCACCCTCACTGGCAGAGCTGTGACAAAACAAAACGCTATTGGCTATTCTTTTAAAAAGGGGTGGAACTACACGATGTCCCACCCTCTCTTTGTGTTTCAGTTGAGATTACGTAAAAAAACGAATAAAAAATTCTATTTCAAAACACTTCACGGGACGTTTAAAATGCTGTGTTGAGCGTTAATTTCACACTGAGCGCTCCCCATTTTTTAAAAGTTTTGATGACAGGTGAGCGTTTCAAAACAGTGCTCGCTTTTCTGTGGTGCAATACAACACGCACAACCTTCCTTCAGACTCATGAACATCTTAGCGGCCGATCACACCAAACGCGCATTTATGTTCCAAAAATGCGATGCAACGACTGTATGCTGTTGATGTTAATACGTTTTTTTTTTAATTATATAGTGAACTACAAGTCTCTTCTCCAACTTCAAAAGTCTCAGTTGTTGTCTTGACAACACAAACACTGCAGGCACCTCAACAGAAACCCTTCAGCAGGAGGCGACACTCTAGTGCAATTTAGGAAACAGCCACTAGATGGCGTGGGGGTCATTTTGGAATGAAAACTCCAATAGAACAACAGCATATTATATATCGGTACAATAAACTATTAAAAGTGCTGATGATTGTGATAGTAAGTGTTGTATTGTCGTCTGTCAGGTTGTATCTCAGCTTTAATGCACTTTTAAAATAAGTAAATAAAAAAACAAAGCAGCTGCTTGCCATCGCAGCAGCAATAAGATCCAATGGACGGCCGATCGCTTTCACTCCAAAATGGCTGAATTACAGGGCTGTTGCTGGGGGCTGCTTTTGCAATGAAACGTTTTATTGAGTGTCCCCTCTTGGTTATTCTAAGCACTTTGCCTTGCCTCTGCTTTCCTCTGATTGGAGAATGAAAAAGACGCGAGTGTCGTAACACACCTTTTTTGCTCAGAGTTGACTATTTTTTAACTCAGAGCACATAGCGCGCAAGGGTGGCAGGGCACATAAGCATCGCGCAAAGTGCTCATGGCCGTTAGTAAACCATTCAAAAGAGGCACCTCTCAATGCAAAAAACACATTCGGTGTGATCGGCCCCTTAATGAGGTTATAGATTAAAAGTAGGGATGCTCTGATTAATCGTCCGATAATCACAATTCATGACTCGATCTGTACTTGCTGATCTGGCCGATCTCACAAACCGATTACGAGTGTTTGTTTACGACTTTACAAGCAGAGAAAGATGCACGAGCATGTTCGGGCAGCTCTAAAACCCATGAGCAATGTTTCCAAATTACATTGTTAGTAATATTTCCTACCATTTGTTTTATCTATCATTTCTTGTAAAGCTACTTTTGACCATTACATTTATGCAACATCCTTAATTTATTCACTTAGGTAAGGTGAGATCTTATTCTTAGAGGGATGTGCTTAAGATATAGTGAAACAACGAACGTATCCAGGGTGATGTGAATAAGGTTATAAAGTACACTGTTACCTTTGAAGATTTACCCAACATGTCCTCGGGAGTTTGTTTTCCATATCAAACTTGCGAAGCCTGAACTTACAAAGAGAGGATGCAGGACTGAACTGTGTGTAGGCTACTTTATATTGGGGAAAAAGCCAATATTAAATAATATAATAATAAGTCATAAAAAAAGAGGCGAATGTCTGCAGCGCTGCCTCCGTTTTGCAGATGTCTCAGTTTTTTTGCCTATTCACACTGAGACGGAGCAGCAGCATTTTAAAATGAAACGGCCTCTTCAGTGTTTCCAAGTTCCAAGCTTCGTTTTTGGCGTTCAAAATCTCTGGTGTAGTGTGGACGGATGGCTTAATCGTAGCAAAACGTATTTTTTTTAAAACAAAAACACATTAGTGTAAACGAGGCCTGAGATTACGTCAAACAATAGCCCCTTTCACATTTACAGACCTTTCTGGAAAATTACCGACAGGTAATTCCGGAAAGGTCTGTATGTGTGAACAGGCCCTTTTTGAAAATACCGGTAAATTTGTTTCAGCAATTTTCCGGAAAGAGAAGTTGTTACATTACCGGTAATTTGCCGGAATGATGCACTATGTGAATGCAGAAGGAGAATTGCCAGAAAGAGCGTATTTATGATTAGAACACACTGACGTGACATGTTTACTCCAGCCAATCAGAACATTCAAACACATTTAAATCCGTACCGTTTATAAAACTATAATATTTTGAATATCATTCCAGAAACATTTAGCTGCTAGATTTTAGTCAGATAACGTTTCTATGGTCCTTATTAATGCCAACTGTGTAAATAAATATCAATTGAATGCTTATGATAAGCCGCTGATGTTTGCCTTCAAGTTCTGCTTCCTTCAGTTGCGTGATGAGTGTGCACGCAAAGCAACCAGTGAGCGCCAGCACACACACATATTGTGTACATCTCAACATGTGAAAGTGTACCTTCATATGTTTTCATCGGTGTTCACAATACTTTTCCATCCACAGAGTTTGTAATGCAGTCAAATGTTTACAAATCTAATCACAGCTGTTTAGAGGTCATTTCTGGGAAATGATGTCAGAATTTACCACTATTTTGGAATGAAAATTCCATAACATCCTTGCCTGTGTGAACAGCTCTTCTTTGAATTTACCGGTAAATTCATTCTAGAATTTTTTCCGGATATTAACTGCTATCACTGTGTGAAAGGGGCTATTGATTTAAAGATGCATATTTCAAAGCACTGCATGGGACCTTAAAGTACTCTGTATCGATAGCATGTGTATTAATTTGGTTTTGCCTTTATTTATTTGTTTGTTTTTTGTCTTGTAAAATGCTGATGACCATTGACTTAAGTTTCATGAATCATCAAGGACGATGGTTTCAGCCAAAATTATTTAAACCAAAGAAAGAAATCCACATATGCTTTGTATGGTTTAATGGGGGTGCATTTTTTGACTGAAATACTGCTTTTACACATTATGTGGACAGTTAGTTGCTAGGTGACCTTTTAAAGGTCCTCAAGTGACTATTTTTGGAAAGACGCCTACAATTACTCTTAGGGTGCTTTCACACCTGCCTTATTTAGTTTGATTGAATCGCATTAGAGTTCGTTTTCCCTCTTGGTGCGGTTCGCTTGGGCAGGTGTGAATGTGAATGCTTGTAGAGGTGGTCTCGGTACGCTTTCAAACAAACCCTGGAGCGGTTCGTTTGTAGTGAGAATATGATCCGAACTAAAACAGACCCAATCGCAACAAGTACTTCGCCTTTTGGACTAATCCAGCTGCTGTTGGCAGATGCGCTGTGCATTATGGGATATGGATTAAAAATATTTTTTGACAGACAGCGCTTTACCAATAGATAGAGAGAGGGGTAATAACCTTACCTGATAAATTGTTGGTAATATTTCCGCAAGATGACCGTGTCGCAGTTTAGCTAAATTAATTCACACCTCCTCCTGAAGTGATGAGCGATGCATTAAACACTGTTTTCCAGCCTTGGCCGCGCTTCATTCTCGAAATGTATAGTTTGTCTAAAGCAGGGATACAGTCAGTCAGCGCAGTTGTCCATCCAAAGTAAAAAGCGACATTTTGTATGTGGCGATTTGTTTACTTGCGGGAGTTCATTGGAATTTTCCCGCATGTGAATTCTGACCAGTCATTAAGCAGTTTAGGAACTATGTTCAACAACACC